GCGAATTTAATTTACAAAGTAGAAAATTTGATTTAGATGAAGTAGCTTTTGATTTTGAAAAAGGTAAGTTTGAATTTTTGAATAAATCAATTTGATTTGAAGAAAGATGGGTATGATTTACTTACAAAAGGATGAATTTGGAATATTGAACCTGTAGACTTTCGATTTTATGTATTCATGATCAAAATGAGTGAGTGATGTTTAAACCTCGAACGTAATTATTTAAAAATTCATGTAATCTAATTAATTCGGAAATATGCAATATTTCCTAAAACAATAATTGACAGTAATTGGCAGTTCGGTTAATGGTTAAATCAGTTAAATCATTGAACGACCATAATTATTGATGACGAAAAGAAATATCTATTCGGCTTCTGTTTTTCGCAGTTCATGATTTTTCTTTTCCATAATTATAATTAATAATTATAATAATAAATAGCTAATAATAATAATTATAATTATAATAATAAATAGCTAATAAGAATAATTATAATTATAATAATAAATAGCTAATGTTTCGGAACTTGATTTCTCTGTCTCCATAACCATACAAACGGCGAAATCAACTCACGCGAGCAACACGTTTCGATGAGACTGCGACGCAGCTATGGGCACGTTTTCCCCGTCACGATTCGCGTGATCGCATGTGGATTCTATCGTCACGCTTGTGCAGATTCAGCGATGGGAATGAAACACCTCGTACTATTGTCAACAAACGATGAACTAATGCTTTTAGACTGTTAGAAAGTGCACTCATTTAAATTCAGTGGGAATAAATAATATTCCACAGAAGAATTTCTATCCTAATTCTTTTCTAGTTCGTAGAACGAAACGCGAACGGACATACGCGAATTCTCTTAGAAATAAAATAACAAACAATTAATAATATTGATTGATGAAGACTTATTAAGGTTATGGGTTAGGTCTTGAAGAATGTAAGTTCAAAAGTAAATTTACGAAACCTTATGTCTGAATTTTTAAAATTAAGAATCTTTGATTGATCATTTCTAATGTGAATGACCATTATTAGTATACAAAACTTTAAATGCGTTCGTCCCGAAAGTATGTTTTCCAAAACGATGATCATCATATCTCAAAATCGACTTAACCAATTGCATTCGAAATTTAGGTGCACATTCGGTATAATTATGCTTACAATCTGTACCAAGAAACACCTAAAATTTTGATTTTTTACATTTCCTTAGGCTCTCAATATCGCAAAATCAATAGAAAAAAATCGATGATCAAATTTTAAGTGTTATCGTCACCTTTTTAATTATCGACCTTTCTCTTTCGTTCTAATATCTGATATAGTCAAACTCATACTAATTAAGAATCTTACTGCGTTGCATTTTCGTGTTCGTGGAAACAAAGGAATCTGCATCACAAAGATTCGCCACGTAATAAAGAAAGTTATCGTATGCATTGTTATCATTTTTACCATAAATTAATCTCTGAAAGGAGCTATCATTGTAGCCAACAGAGCAACCTTATGGAAGTTAACTATCCCCACTTAGAATAGCAATCAAACGTCAACTTAGCGAACATCTGCACGAAGTTGTGGGTCAAATCAATACACAGACGATTATTAGAAGTTCAATACGTTTACATTAGACCATTTGAAATCCCATAGATCTCTATTTATTAACCAGTTGCATTTACTGGTCGATTTCCTTGTACATTATTATAGACAGATATGTACTTTGAAGACGTACTAAACCAAGTCTGATGTAAAAACTTGAGCAATTGACCAAATGATAACATTATCACCGTAGTAATCCAGGCATTTCGTTCAGGTATCAAAAATACGGCTTGAAATAATATAAAGGACAAAGATTTTTACGTAATTCTAGTCGGAGCTACAGTGACATATAAAATGAAGCTGTAAAATGATATATCAATTGTTTCCGAAATCTATCTATTACAATAATAATAACAATTCAAACATTTATGACTAGACTGCGGATCTTTATGCAAAATAAAAATTGCCAACGTCAATTCTAAGAAGCAGAAAAGTTAAATAAAAATCTTCTTCTTTTACTCATTCTAAAAAGTTAGAAACAATGCGACGATGTAGCTAAATTTTTCTAATATTTTCACTTCTCTGTATTTCACTGATCCATTTTTGCAGAAAATGCATAAAACATGAAGTAGGTAGAAAGCAGGGCTTGAATGCAACCATAAACTTTTATAAATATAGGTTATTTAGTAAACTTTTAACTTCTGAATTATTCCTTTTTCTGGCTTAAGTTAACTTTTATATTAACACTTTAAATCTGTTATAAAAGTTCAATTTTAGCAGTTATTTTATATTTGATTAATAAAAATTCTGTGAAAGAACATTTATTTCTTAACATATATTTTAAGGCAAGCTATAAAAGTTTATACGTACTGGATTACATGTGTAGACGTGTGTTAAAAATGACACGGATCATTAAGTTAAGATAATAGAGATCACTACTTTCAACCTCAAATCTGAATGGTAAATTTGTTTGAAAGAACTTTTCAGAAAGTTAAAGTTCTGTTACTGTCCAACTAGATCATATCCCTGTTTGCGAAATGGTAAAAATTTCTTATAAAAACGCATACGAAAACGCACATATGGAATAAAAGTTTTAGCGGATTTATAACTGTTTTTTTAGGACAGAAAAGTTAAAAGTAAACAAATAACTGTTATACGAAAAATAAATGAATATTTTAACGGTTTCATTCAAGACCTGGTAGAAAGAAATGTTTCTTTTTCTTCATTCTATCCACATATTTAGCTGTTCAAAAACCAAAAATCAAAGTGATTCGTAACATATTAACAAATTTATGGCTAAACTTTATGTTCTGTCAAGGTTATACCAAGATTAGAACTACGTTAAAAGGTTAACAAGGTGAAAACTACGTCTATGAACTGAGTACGCATTAACTTATTAACAAATTAATTCAGCACTTATGTTGATTACATTCCTAGATTCAGGATTTCGATTTTTTGACTTTTCTCGACAAAATTCATTGGAATGTACACTGGAAGGCCGAACAAATAGAAACCCCCAAGAAAAAGTTTAATCAAATTGATTTCTTCATTCTCAGAAAGTTCAAAGTGACCGCTATGCGCCCCCACTTTTCTATGGAATTTTCGCGCAAGAATGGCACGAGCTTTCCGAACAACGCAATATAAACAATTGCTCAGGAAGCCCGAAGAGGGAGAGAGCATATTTATCGTCGATGGCCCTTCGTAGCCTTTGTACTTGCTCGCGCGTGTGTGCCTAACTGCGTGCGTGTGCATCGTGTGCGGATCGTGTGTGCAGCGTGTGCATCGTGTGCACGTTAGCCCGAGGAGCGGTGGCTAGGTCACGGTCAGGGCGATGCCCTCTTCCCTCGGAAGAGAGGAGAGAGACTTTACGTCGGTTCTCCTCAGCTTCTTCGTCCTCCTCCTCCTCTTCTTCTTCGCCTTGTTAGATCATGCTGAAAGTCCCCTCTCTCGGATGAGCCACGCATCCGTTCGAGCGTATCTTTCCTGGCGACGCACAGTGGTACGGAAGCCCGAAATCATTGTCAAAATCATAAAAATCGAAGTTGTCAGTGGCGAGGTTTTGAAACTCCCGGATTGGCTAATTAGACGAGGCCTCTATGGGGTGGGAAGAAACGACATGAGCCATACTTTTATACCCGAGTGACAATTGCACTTCAAACTGCGAGTTTGTTGGGCAATCATTTCGCGCGAGCAACAGTGCGAAGTGCCAAATATCGTTTTATCGAAGGCAGTACTTTCAATTCTGTAATATGGGTATTGTTCCTAGTGGAAAATACAAGTGTTTAACGCTAACGTATCAAGAATTGTTAACCGTTACATTTGTAAACCGATAAATTGTAGATTATAAGAGGAAATGGAACGCATTCATTGTTATGGACGTAACTTTTGCATCTGAGGCGGCCCTGCTTTTAAACTTACCGGAACAATAGCTTAAACTTTTATCTTGCTGTAGTTAAGAAATTAGCTGCAGCGACCTGCACGTTTATCAATTCTAGTCATTTTTTATGAGACAGCGTATGAAATACTGGCTCAAATGGAATAACTTTTAAAAAATCTAGCCAAATTACACTAATTGTTTTGAGATGTTAGAAAAGCCACTTTATTAGACAACGTTGAAAATTGTTTTGGAAAAATTGCAATTTATTGAATTGAAAACAATTGTTTCAATTACGCGTTTTTTATGTTCAGAATCTTTGGATAGCGAATATCGATTAAGCAGAAAACAAGTGTTTCTGATAATTGAAGGAAATTTAATGATGGCACCAGTTCAATAATTGAACATTTTTTAAACGACAAATATGTGAGCAAGATGAAGAAATTATTTTCTGCTGTCAGGATAAAATGGTGGCAATTACGTACACAGGACTGAATCCAGATTTTTGTCAAAATTTGAAAATTCTGATTCGTAATCAGAATTCCCGAATACGTGGAGATACCAAATTTGTTGTTGTTTGACTATATTTACTTCGATTAAGGGAGGGCATTCCGACAAAACTCAACTACCAGTAATATTCTAGGTAATATTTTGAAAATATGCATTCTGATAGTATTTCATACGCTGATTTGAATTATGTGCGAATTACTTTGCCAACTAATTTTTTTGGCCTTGGTGGCAATAATTATCACTAAACTTAAAGTATCTCGAACAATAACAATGTTTTTGAGCTGAAAGCTTTTGTTTACTACCAACAAAATTAGTTGGCAAAGTAATTTGCACATAATTTGCGACAGCGTAAAAAGTGCCATGAAAATGCACATTTACGAAATATTATCCGGTAAATTATTGGTGTAGAAGATTTTTGCCTTAATGTCCTACTTGAAGTCGGCCGTTTTTGCGAATCAAGTGCCGTTTTTAGACACGTCGTACGGCCGATGCATGGTGAACGAGCCGCGTACACCGCGATCACGTAATTTACGGGACGGCCTCCAGCGTGTCATATTTATCGCGTGACGCCCCGGGCTTTCATGGGAAACTCACTTTTCATAGAATTCGGTGGGGTACGCCCCTCCCCCTCGATTATGCCTCCGCTACAATTTATTTGCGACTGATGTTGCTCTGGTATATTTCCGTGTATTGGTTAAGTGAATTTGATCTAGAAGTAGACAATTTTGAATTCTTCTCTGACAGCTACTTACGTGGATGAAGAAATACGTGAATAGGGTAGCAAACTCGAGGTACTCGTTAATTAGTGTATGTGAGGTCGTAGTACTCACCTAAAACAGAAACAGAAACAATATAATTAGCGAGGTAATGCCAGGAAAATATAATTATGTTTAACACGTTCCGTGCCGAGCTTTTTTTACTCGAATCTTCACACTTTGATATTTTACTAAAACTTGATGTATTACGTGCAATTATTAATTCTCGTACACATAACAACGTAACAAAAACTTATCAACGCCCATTCTTGCGGTGGAAATTGATTCTTCGGTTCTAAATTTCTTGTAAACAATTTGTTCAGTTCACTAAGTAAACATGCAAGCGTGTACCATCGATGGTACACGTGGCACGGAACGTGTTAACAGGCGTACAGTAATTTCTCCACGAGTGTCACAATTTTGCTGTACCATGAGTGTCGCTGTGCTATTGCTACGCTTATGTGATTTATCGATTTTCTCGCTACGCCGATGGAAAGTTCGTCGGAATCAGTCAAACATACGGTGCGGCATGCGCCGCGACTCCTTTGACTCAAATTTCCAGAAGTCAACACAAAATGGTCTGTTTGGGTGTGAGTCGGGTAAGAAAAACCGCGGAGCTACGAGATATGTGGTAGGTACTAGGTACGTGACCATCAATTCGTGGCATGTGGCCTCTCAATTGCCTTCGAATCGTCGCATGTGGTCTCCAAATTGCCTTCGCATCGTGACATGTGGTCTCCGAATTGCCTTCGAATCGTGGCAAAAAATAAAAAATAAAAAAGTTAAATCATCGTTTAGCACTAAAGGGAAGGTAAGCGAATCGGAGAGCGTGTTTAAGGCTACTATTAATACAGTTTATTGAATTGTTATCGATGAGCGCGGGCGCGACTAGCGTGGTGTCGTAGGTCTAGCGACTTAGGGCAGACTGAGCTTTTTGAGTTGCGCGTTTGTCTCTTTTATACTGGAAGGGAAGAAAGGAATAGATGGACTTTCGTAGGAAAAGAGAAAGTTGGGAAAGTCCCGTGCGGGTCGAGGTGTCCAGATGTGAGGAGAATTGCTTTATTAGGGGTGCGTGATTTTTAGGGAATTTTGAGGATTAGGAACGGTACTTGTTTTATTGCTAGCGGCCGCGCTCAGGTAGAGGGATGCGACGCCACAATCGTTTTTACTTTAGCATTACTATGTGTTCATATTAATGTACACCGTCATGCTGGCCGGTGCCTTTTTTGCCGACTGTCCCGAGCTTCTATAAAAACGAGCCGCGGGACTCGAAGAATCGTGTCCGAGTGCCTGGCGATTACCGTTTTCAATTCCGAGCTCCGGGCCTTTTAGGGAGAATTTACTGTATATCCAAAGATTACCTTCTGGAAGAACAATGCTCTGTTATTTCTAGCTTCCCATAAGCCACAGTAAATAAGAAGCTAAGTGACACATGTCGCCGGCGCACCTAACGCATGGTTAGCGCCGCAACTCGTTTAAAACGGTCGAAGTTTCGCGGACGAACTTCTCCGTGAGCCAAGAGTAAGTACCGATAAATCTATATTCTGGCTCGTTAGAAACAAAGGAACCAGGAAGAATTCCGTGAAATAAGTTCAGTAAGCGTAATAAATTCGTCGATCCATCAATAGCCGTTCGGTTTAACTATTACGTTAAGGCGTTCATCCACGCGTTGCGTCGAGCTCTGTAATTTATCGACTTGTTTGCACCGTACGAACGTCCGCGTGATCACTGTCGGGAGAGACGATGGAAATCATCGATAAGAGGCCGTCACACCCTCGCGGAAAGATCATCGCGGAAGTCTCCCCGGCCCGAGTGATCGACTTTATTCCGCGCCGCCCACGTGCACTCGTAAATATAATTTCTCGCTAATCGCGCACGCCACGGAACGCCGACTATTAACCACCCAGCGAGCCACGCTCTGTGCTGCCTCTAAACGGTTCCACTGCATCAAGGGTGCATTCTGTCGAATCAAACGAGCCAACTCGACCCATATGCGCCGCTGATTCATTTCAACTAGCCAATTCAGCGTGCACTTCTGCTCGTGTCTCTGCGCGGTCGCTTCTTCGAAAGGCACGCGAAACTTTGTCAGAGTGATAATCGGGGTATTAGATGCTAGCTTCGAAACTCCAGTTGGACATTATTCGAATTATTTTGAATAAGTTTTGAATAAGATAATTATACGAATTAATACCTTCCTTTTAGTCGAACATTTTATTCGAATAAAAGTTATTCATTATTCGTCATAAATTAGTCTGTTTAAAATCATTCGAATGGAGATCGTGAAATTATTCGAATAATACTGCGGGTAATTGTTGACTGTCTTTATTTTTATGTAATTTTGTAAGAACATATTTATACGAATACATATATCCCATTCGAATGTGAATTCTTATTCAAATAAATTCTTATTTAAAAATGAATTTTTATTCAAATAAATTCTTATTCGAATGAATCCTTATTTGAATAAAATCTTATTTAAATAAAATTTAATTCGAATGAATTCTTATTTGAATAAAATTTTGTACAAATAAAATCTTATTCAAATATATCATTATCTAAATAAATTTTTATTCGATGGATATTTGTTCCATACTATCGAATAAAATTTTATTAATTAGTTTTTCTCTCTAATTTGTCA